TTGTTTACGTCCAGCTGATACTCTCCAAAATGGCACCTGACATGGAGGAGACAAATTGTTGAATAAAGTCATTATTTTTTTTCTTTTGCGCACAAAAATATTCTCGTAGCTTTGTAAAATTGCGGATGAACCACTGATGTCACATGGATTATTTTACAGATCTCCTTGCTACGTTTCTGGACTTGGAAACATTTCAGTTGCGTTGCTGTCTATGGGAGGGTCAGACAGCTCTCAGATTCCATCAAAAATATCTTAATTCGTGTGCCGAAGATGAAGGAAGGTTTTACGGGTTTGAAACGACATGAGGGTGAGTAATTAATGACAATTTTCATTTTTGGGTGAACTATCCCTTTAAGTGCTGATTTATGGCAAATATAGACTAACCCTGTCTGTGTATCGGAAGGAGGATGATAACAATTCTGGATCAGGTGACCCTCCAAAAAAGAAGCCCACAAGACTAGCCATTGGTAAGCCCCTGCATTCTTTAGCCCTCAATCTTTGCTACATATTTTAGAACATGTTAATTTTCCCAGTTGTGTGTTGTTAGTAAGTTTATTTTGTGAAACGTAAAAAGCTGAAAAGGTTGTATGTGTTTCTTGCAGGGATTGAGGGTGGATTTGATGTTGAGCAGGAGCAGTATGACGAAGAGGTCAAGGTGGTTCTGTTCCCAGACCGACAGGAAGTGACATCAGATGATCTAGCCTCCATGCCAGATGTTGTTCGGGAAAGGGTGAGTCATTTTATTATGAAATCTTTTCACATGATTTTTCACTATGTAATAATAAATAAATATATAGTCATAATTAAGTGGATGCTAAACTTTATAACAGAGCAGACTTTGATTGACTGTGTTGGTGTCGTTCACCCTTGCAGGTGTCTCTGTCGATGGCGGGGCTGCAGGCAGCAGACTCAGTGTCGCACACTTTGCAGGTGCAGCAGTGGGACGGAGAAGTGCGACAGGAGTCAAAACACGCAGCTGAACTTAAACAACTCGACAATGGGGTCAAAATCCCTCCTTGGTATATACATGTGTGAATGTTATAGACACATTTGATATGTACAGCTAAGCTCTGAAAACATGATCCTAGGAGGAAGTTAGAGTAAGTGATTGTTTATATTTACATACTTCCATCTTTCTTTCAGTGGTTGGAAGTGTGAGGTCTGTGACCTACAGGAAAACCTGTGGATGAATCTGACAGATGGAAAGGTTTTTTGTGGGCGGAGATATTTTGATGGCTCAGGGGGGAATAACCACGCCCTCCTGCACTACCAGCAGACTGGATACCCACTGGCTGTCAAACTCGGCACAATAACACCTGACGGAGCAGGTGAGATTGTCTCACAAAATCTGCTGGAATCTACTTAAATCATGCTGACGTTGTATGCTTTAAGCCAGTACCGTTATGTCTGCTTTACGGTTAACTAGGGCTATATTTATGATGACGTTGTGTGATGTATGTGTCTTTGCAGATGTCTATTCATATGACGAAGATGATATGGTACTAGATTTTAAGCTTCCAGAACACCTTTCTCACTTTGGCATTGATATGATGACTATGGAAAAGGTACTGTCATCCCAAAAATCTCTACTAGATGGGCTTTCATTCTTAAAGTGTTTAAGAAGCTGTTTTTTAGTGTGTCCCTCTCTTTTTGTTAGACGGAAAGAACCATGACTGAGCTGGAGATCGCAGTGAACCAGCGTGTGGGAGAGTGGGAGGTGATTCAGGAGTCAGGTACCACTCTGAGACCCCTATGGGGCCCGGGGCTCACTGGAATGAAGAACCTGGGAAACAGCTGCTACCTCAACTCTGTCATGCAAGTGCTCTTCACCATCCCAGACTTCCAGACCAAGTCAGTGCTTCTCAGAATGTTTGTCAACCTGTGTGTGGTTCTAGAGTTTTTGTTATGTTGGTGCAGTAATATTTCAGCCAGAGATATGAGCATATAAAACATATCCATAATCACTACTGTTCAAAGATTTGGGATCAGTAAGATATTTAAAAAAAAAAGAAATGAACACCTTTATTCATCATTAAATTGGTCAAAAGAGGCATTAAAGACAATGTTACAGAAGATTTGTTTCAAATAAATGCTGTTATTTTGAACTTTTTATTCAATCAAGAGATTGAAAAAATGCTATTATTATTAATTATATTATTATTAAAAACACTGAATATTATTTAAAATAAAACAAATAAATATTCAGCAGCACAACAATTTGCAACATTGATAATAAGAAATGTTTCTTGAGCACCAAATCAGTATATTAGAATAATTTCTGAAGGATCATGTGACACTGAGTAATGGCTGCTGAAAACTCAAATCAAGTTAAATTTTTAAATATTTACATTTTAGTAAATTAAATTATTTAAATTATTATTTAAATTTTAAATTATTAAAAATATATTAAAGTAGAAATCAGTTACTTTAAATTGTTATATTTCATAATACTACTTTGTTCAGATAAATGCAGCCTTGGTGAGAATAAGAGACTTCTTTCAAAAACATTTAAAAAAATCTTACTGACTCCACAAGTGGTGTAAGTGTGTATTAGACATGTTTATATATATATATTTATATGTTTATATGGAACTATTGCTGCAGAAATAAAATCTCTAAATGTATCTTGTTTCCTCTCACACTCATTGATACTCAGATACGTTTCCATCATCGACAAGATCTTTAATGAGGCGCCCAGTGACCCTACCCAGGATTTTAAGACTCAAGTGTGAGTACCTGTCCCACAAACTCTCAAATGCACACATACTTTAAAATATCAGTGTGTTTAGTTTAAAAGGGATCGTTCACCCCAAAAATGTTGCACTCTTCAGTAGCTTTCAAATCTCATTCGCACTTCCACATATTTAAACTTGGCAAGCCATATTTGGTTAAACAATGCAGGGCATTTTTTAATCACTAATGTCAAATACGTCTTAATGCCCAATGTTTGAAAATATACAAATAATGGTCTGTTCCTCACACAAAGCCCTTGCATGACTTAAGAAGACCAGGAGTATAGAGCAGTACAAGTTTTATGAACCACTTTTATATTGCTTTTTTGTCATATTTGGAGATTGACAGCGTCTTTTCAGTTTCAGTGTTCATGAACAGTTTCATGTTCCACAGTAGAAAGAGTTTCATACAGGTTTTGAACAACATGAGTGACAAAATGGAGACAGAATTTTAATTTCAGGCTGAACTCTTTAGTCCCGTTAATGATGATACTGAAGGGGCTTCAGTAATATCATATATCCAGCAGAGGTCGCCATACATCAATTCTCCCTGCTACCTGAAAGAAAGAGGGAAAAAACATGAGTATCTGCTTCGGTTGTTTCAAAGAGCTTAAACACCATAACGATTTTATTAAGTAATCGAAATTTGTATCTTTCTTCCTTCATTTCCACTCTTTAATATCAGAGCAAAGCTGGGCTATGGCCTTCTGTCAGGAGAGTACTCTAAGCCGGCCCCTGACCCCGGGGATGACCCCAATTCCTCCACTGAACCCAGGGTATGTACACAAACATCGGGTTTCATTCATGAAAGATTATTTGTTTATATTATATATTTATATTATATGAGATATTGTTTATATCTTTCATTAATCATTTTGGTATGGAATCTGACAGTTTTTGCAGGAAAATACAGAAATTGATTCTGCTCATGTTCAGGAAAAGCCATTTCTAAATCTGATTTTCTTTGTACAGGGTGACCAGGTTGGCATAGCACCTCGCATGTTCAAAGCTCTGGTTGGACGAGGCCACCCGGAGTTCTCTACCAATCGGCAGCAGGATGCGCAGGAGTTTCTTCTTCACTTTATAAATATGGTGGAGGTAATGATGATGACATTCTCTTGCAGTCTCTGTTTTACACCATTTACTTTTGCATTCACTCATTTTGCCTTTTTTTTTAATGTTGTCCAGAGGAACTGTCGGTCTGGCATGAATCCCTCAGAAGCTTTCCGCTTCCTAGTGGAGGAGAAGATTGTATGCCAGCAGTCACAAAAGGCCAAATATACCCAACGAGTAGACTACATAGTCCAGCTGCCTGTTCCCATGGACCAGGCAACTAATATGGGTTAGACACCCATACTATGCTTCTGTGCATCAATTCCGATTTATCCTTCCTCTCATTTATCATCTTCTCTTTCTGTTTATCAGAGGAGCTACAAGAAGCAGAACGTCGCCGGGAGGAGGTGGAGTCATCTGGAGCCCCTCCCTTTGCTGCACCACGTGCTCAAATTCCATTTGCTGCCTGTTTGGCTGCTCTTAGCGAACCGGAAACACTCACAGATTTCTGGAGCTCTGCAGTGCAAGCCAAAACCACTGCCACAAAGTAATAATATTCGTTTAATTCTCAATTAGTCTTTGATTTTCTTCCGTGTGTAATAGTATCTTTATATCTCTATGTCTCTTAGGACCACTCGCTTTGCTTCATTTCCTGACCATCTTGTCATCCAAATTAAGAAATTCACCTTCGGCTTGGATTGGGTTCCTAAAAAATTAGGTTAATTATATATTTTTTGGCTGTTTGATAATGTAACTTTTTCATTTTGCACAATTAATTATATAATTTTAAATTGTTCTGTTAATTGGTTGACAGCCCTAGTTTGAATACTAATATACTCTTGTAATAATTTTAATAGATGTGAGCATTAATGTTCCTGACAAACTGGATCTGAGCGCGCTCCTTGCCATGGGACAGCAGCCAGGGGAGGAGCTTCTGCCAGAGGTGGCTCCACCTCCTCTCATGACCCCTGATGTGGAGGTTAAAGGTATCCTGGGTTTCCACGGCAACGAGGAGGACGACTCTCTCTACTCCCCACTGCTGTGTCAGTCTGTCTTTTCTTTTCTTTCTGACCTCATCTGTCTGCCACTTGAGCCTGTCTTTCATTCTTTCTTTTTCCTTTGCTTTCTTCTTTGTTTAGTGTCTTTTAATTTAATTTTATTATATTCATTTGTTTTAGTTTAATGTAAACGTGTTTTTATTTGCTCCTATATAAATGATACTCATGCTGCCTTAGTTAGTCTTAATATTTAGTTTTCAATTAAATGTAATTTATTTTGGATTTAAAGGAATAGTTCACCTTAAAATGAAAATTTGCTGAAAATGTACTCTCCCCTCTTCATCTGATCAGATTTGGAGATATTTACTTAGCATTACATCACTTGCCCACCCTGCAGTATATGGGTGCCGTCAGAATGAGTTCAATCTACTGATAAAAACATCACGGTAATCCACACGACTCCAGTCCATCAATTAACATCTTATGAAGTGAATAGCGGCGTGTTTATAAGAAACAAATCCATCATTAAGGCATTTTAATTTTAAACCATTGCTTCTGGCCAAAATAGCTGTCCATAATAATGCTTCATCCAGTGAAAAAGTCCATCTCCTGTTGTCCTCTCACAACAAAATCTACCAACATATTGGCTAGAACTGTTTTCACTTTTAAATGGTGATTGTTCTGTGCATATTTCTTTCCTGATTCAGATGAGATTACTTTTTCCACTGAAAAGATAAAAAAAACATCTTGATGGATTTGTTTCTTAAAATTTTGCTGCTTTTCATTACACAAGATGTTAATTGATGGACTGGAGTCATGTTTTGGATTATACTAATGTTTTTATCAGCTGTATGAGCTCTCATTTTGGTGGCACCCATTCGCTGAAGAGGATCCATTGGTGAGCAAGTGATCTATGCTAAATTTCTCCAAATCTATTTCGATGAAGAAATAAACTCATGTTCCTCTTGGGTTATCTGAGGGGGAAAACATTTTTAACAAATTTTTGGGTTAACTATTCCTTTAAGCATTGGTTTAATTTTTAATTAATACAATTTTCATTAGCATTCAGTCAATGTAATTATTGAAACATGTCTGTAGAGCACTCTCTCTCTATCTGTGCATGTCTCTCAGCTCCGGTATTGGATGACTCTACAGTGTCTCAGCTGTGTGAGATGGGTTTTCCTCTGGAGGCCTGCCGGAAGGCCGTGTACTACACAGGCAATACTGGCATTGATGCTGCAATGAACTGGGTGATGGGACACATGGAAGACCCTGGTAAATACATTCATCAATGAGTGTCAGCTGTGAAGAGGATTAAAAGTAGGATGCAGATTTCCAGTAATATTCTCTATGTGAACTTCTGCAGATTTCTCCGCACCTTTAGTGTTGGCTGGATCTAGTTCTGCTCCTGGCACCACACCTACAGAGAGTCTACCTGAGGAACACCTAGCAACCATTGTTTCTATGGGATTCAGTCGAGACCAGGCCACTCGCGCTCTCAGAGCCACGGTGAGACACGTCACTCTGTCTCTCTTAACCAGAGTGATACAAAAATATTTATTGATGCATAGACCTGATACCCACAGTATATTGTACCCATTTCGCATGCAACCCGATTGGTACAATGGTTTTACCTCAGTATAATTTTTTTAATTTTTTTATATTTATTTAAAAATTATGACACCCAGGAAGTGGCATGACTGAGATTTTCTAGTTAATATTTATTGCTTTAAACGCATTTAAGTGACACAAATCATGGTCCTAAATTTTGGTAACAGGTAGCAAAATCTGTAAACTTCATAATATAAATAGAAATTTAAACCTGCTAAGGTTCAGCATGCTACAAATCAGTATGTTACAAATGCTTTGTGCTTCCTTTCACATGCCATTTTGTTAATTAATGATTTCTTTAAGAGATTCCAATCCTATTTGTCAATTTCTGTGTTTGTAGAATAATGTTCTAGAGCGAGCTGTGGACTGGATCTTCTCTCATCTGGATGATCTGGAGTCCATGGATGTGTCTGAGGGTGGACGCTCAGAAGGAGGAAGTGAAGCCAGTCGGGAACCTCCTCCAGGACCGCGTGTCCGTGATGGAACAGGAAGTGTGTGTTTCTGTGGTATTTATTAAATGGTGATTTTTGTAAATGTTATAAATATTTTGTTCTCTTCTAACGATTCACATCTTTCCTATTCTTTTGTCCTGAAGAGTATGAGCTTTTTGCGTTCATCAGTCACATGGGAACGAGCACAATGTGTGGTCATTATGTCTGCCACATCAAGAAGGACCAACAGTGAGTGAAGTTCTCTATCCATCAGTGGGCACCTCTCTCTCTCCATCATTATTCATATGGAGCTCTTGTACAGCAGTATCACTTTTTCTCAGTATTAATGTATTCATTGTCACTCTTTGCTTCTTTCAGGTGGGTAATCTTTAACGATCAGAAAGTTTGTGCCTCTGAGAAACCACCTAAGGACCTGGGCTACCTGTACTTTTACAGAAGAGTAGTGGAATAGAATAAACTAGAATAGCATTTTTTTCCCTCTCTCTCACACACACGCACACTTCTGTATCTGATCTACTGGAACAGAAGGCCCAGACTCCTGCTTCTGAACTGATGCACCATTTAATAAGTCAAAGCACTTCTCCATCAAATATATTCACTACCACGAGAAACCAGTTGTAATGATGGAAGAAAAAAATAAGATGTAGGATGTGCGGATTAGTGTGTTCTTACTCGAAACGGCCATGTTGTACAACGCCTTACCACACACACACACACTAGTCTCCTTCGTGCCTCCCCCTGATTGGATAGTGGCTATTGTGACATCATCGCTTTTAGAGCTAAGCTCCACCTTCCTGCCCTTTATGTGTTCCAGAATGTTTCTATAAATGTTTAATGGCAAGTAAATATCATTAAATCACAAAAAAAAAAACCCAGCTAAATATTATATATTGGAATTTTAAATTTAAAAAATGAATTCAAAAGGTATTGTGCGGTTTCAAATTTTTCCTTGTTTTGTTCTCCTTTTTGGGGGGGAGGAAAGAATTCCTTTTGTTCTTTTTGCTTTAAAATAAAATAATAATAATAATTAAAAAAAAGTGTCTCTTTGTTTCTTATGACTGTGTATTGCTTATGAGTGTGTATAAAGGAATTTCCTGCCAAATGCAGTGTCAGCAGTAATAAACATTTTATGTATATTACTGAAAAAACCCAATGTGAATGCATGTTTACTGGCAATACTGAGGGTGGAAAGAGTATTGATAAATGTAAAAGCATGAAAGTCTGCTAAGTGTATAAACAATACGAATGACATTTGGTAATTTATCTGGTTAACAATGGAAAGTTCAAGCCTCATTTATGTTACACTGCTGATAAGTACATTAGTGTAGTGTCCAAAGGCCTGTGTTTTATGTGAATAAACGTCTGTACTGAAAAGCCAATATTTTTATTAATGTTTCAATGCTATGTAGACTTAGTTTATGAGTAAAAATGCTGACATCGATTATTTGTTTTTATTAATTCATTTGTATATTACGTTATTGTGACCCTATTTGTAAACTTCATTGTCAAATCTTAACTTTTCTTTCAAGGATTTCCCACTGAGAAGTACATGTGAGAGGCGTTTTCTGCCTTACGTTGGTTGTTTCTCTCCAAGCAACATTTTTTGCTTGCTTCCGCTCTCATACTTCAGTTCATTTCAGATTTTCGTGTCGGCTGTTTTATCGCACACGCTGGTTTTTACCAGTTGGACTAAAGGCGCAGAAGTTCCCTCAAACTTTCTCAACACATAAAACAGCATCCAAACGTGAGTATGAAAAGAAGATTGCTCAGAAAAAGAAAAAAAAACCAAACTTGCTTAAGCGAATGGTATCTTAAATAAAAACGGAAAGCCAAACATAAAAGAGAAGCGCCAGCATTATTGGTTTTTGCTGCATGAGCACTAAGTATTTAACAGTATGTAACCGTGTTTAACAACCAAGATGATGTTTTATCTTTTCATTAACTTTAATGCCTTTTAAATATTAAATATATAATCATAGAAATATCTATGTACTGACTTGCTTTTTTTTTTTTTTCAAATTTAAAATGGCTAATTTTAAGAATTGAAAGTAAACGACAAATATATTTTTTTAAAGATTATAATATAATCACATGATTTTGCAGGTTTTATGAAAATGTGTAAGCTTAACCGGCAATGACAATAATCTGTAACATTAATGCATGTTGAAATAGAAATGTTCATTTGCACCACAAATGCTAAAGGAATCTTGCCTATATATAAGTACAATAAAGCTTTGATTAAAAAAATTACAGTAAACATTTTCATTATTTCTCCTATGTTTGCTTTTTAAGTGTGTAGTTTACAATCTGGAGACATCACATGTTTTGCTGGTAATTGCTTGTTTACCTTAAAGGTAAAATAAGACTTCTTAGGCATTTATTTCAGATTATTAGAATTTAATCTTAATTATTAGGGCCCAAGCAACTAGGGGCACAGGGCTTTATTGTTCCCCTAAGGATTATTATTATTATTATTATTATTATTATTATTCAATCATTCGGGGCTTTTTGGGGCCCTTAATATGCTCAAAAACTCGGCACACACGTTGGAATCTGTGGCCATTAGGGCTGGGCAGAGGGGCTCTACAGGGTCCCCTGGAATCCGGTGGTCCATATCTCATGCATACTTGCACATATACATGAAACTCAGTACACATGTAGATCTCATCCAGCCAAACAACTTGCACTGCATGTCATTAGCTCCCCTCAACAAGAAATCAGCTATTCAGGGTTTTGTGAAAAACGCATTCTCTGGAATTGGATATACTTCTCCTAGGGTTTTCATCCGAGACATTGGGGATGCTAAACTGCAAAGGGAGTTTTGATATTTCGAACGGTGTGACTGTGGTGAGGCAACAAATTTTAAATGGCGAGAAATGAGAAACGTGACTAATAAGTCACTAAAAAGAAGTGTCTAATAACTTTGCCATACAGTGTCTGATTTTGATTAAACTTCAGCAGTTTGTTCATTGTATGAGGCTGATCACATAGATGTGACTGTTAGGCGTCAAAGTTATAGCACCACCAACTGGCAGCAGGAAGTGTGTCACTTTCCAAATGCTTTGAAATCAGCCTCTTATTTTTACTCAATTTGCTTCAAACTTCATCAGATTAATGTCAGAACACGACAGATGTAAAATTGCGAAGGGATTCTTGATATCTTAAATACTGTTGCCATGACAACGTGTCAAACTTGAATATTAATTTCAGGCATTTTTAAGGCACTTAACATGCTTAGAATTTCATGAAACTCGACACACACATCAGTATTAATGAGAGTTAGACACTGACAAAATCTCAGAAATGGGCATGGAGGAGGTACTCTATAGTTTTTTCTACAATCACCAAACTTAGTACATATATTGTTCTCATCAAGCCGCACAACTTTCTAATTTACAGCCATTAGCTACAACCTACAGGAAGTCGACTATTTTGATTTGAATGTGGATTTTTGGAAAAATCAGGCTGTGAATTAATGCATACTCCTCCTAGGAGAATCATGCAATCCACACCAAACTTTGTCAACATGATGCCAAGATACTGAAGATGCAAAATTGCAAACGAATTTTGGATATCTTGAACAGTGTTGCCATTGAGATTTATTAAAGTAACAGTAAAAAAAGATAACAGTAATTTTCTTTAATTTTCTTTAATTTCTTTCAGTAATCATTTCTTTAAAGTGCATTATCCAAACACTTCACAGATTTTTACATATGGAGAACAAGTCATTCTTAGGAAACTTACTTTTAGTTTAATACATTTATAACTCTCAGGGGCCAACAAAAAAAAAGAAAAACGATCAGACATTTCAGCTGACAGATGAAGGCTGTAATCATAGGATAGAGTCATAGGATAAGAAATCTTTTAAGCCTGATTTTACTGCTCATAGGGCGTATGTATAAAGCCTCTCAGAATAAAATTGTCAAAATTCTAAGAATGATGTCATTTTACTCTTATTTCTACACTTAAGAATAAGTGTGATTCATAAAGGTTCCTAAGTGTTAGGACTAGGTCTCAGCTCCTAAATTATTTAAGAGAGCTGGAGAGGTCTCCTAACCTAGTTAGGAGTAACAAGATGGCAGCAAAGAGGAGGAGACACACACTTGTCAATGAAGATATGACGTATTGGAGTTATATGATGATATGGAGTTGATAAAATGATACAAACTGAATCGTCAAGATAATCAATTATTTTTGTAACTGACCAAGTAAGAAATTTAATAACTTCTTCCACTCTACAAATCAGTGCTCTAACTGCAGAAATGAAAGTAGTAATTACATTTTTTTGGGGCTGAAAAATTGGAAAAATGCAGCAATTCACCGGTGGTGAGGGTCTTAAATATTGAGGCACTAACCCCAACGAACACAACAGTGGCCAAAAGTGATGTGTGGAGTTTTTTTTTTTAATGACCCCACATGATCTTCTTTATGCACCAAGAGCTTGTAACACTCCAAAGAGAAAGGAAAACTTGAAATCGCATCATATGATCCCTTTAAACCATAAAAATACGGGGGAAAAAACACTGACCAGTGTTGCCAACTGCTTTCAAATGAAAGTAGCTAAAACAGTTGCTAAATGTTGCTAGATTACCTCATAATAGCGAGATCACTGATCTATATAAATATAAATATAGATCAGTGGGAGAGTCTTGGAATCTAGACAAGGTTTGTCCAAGAAATTGATTTTGTTGCTAGCTTTTTGAAAAAAGTATCAAAAGGGGCGAGGAAGTCACTAAATCTAGTGACAAAATCAAGTGTCGAGACGACTTTGAGGGTTGTGGCCAAACCTTCAGGTAAAACAAAACTACACCTCACAACTTTACAAAATCTGTCTTGTAGGGATGCACACTTTATATCATAAATATATCAATTTGCCTATCCTATTGTCAAATGTTAATACAGTCAATCAGTCAATACTGAATATATATATCAATATTGGACATTTAATTGTGCATGCTCATTTCCCCTATTTTTATATTTAAATTATGTTACACCACATCATGAAGGACCAACAGTGAGTGAAGTTCTCTCTCCATCTCTCTCTATCATTATTCATATGCAGCTCTTGTACAGCACTTTTTTTAAAATTTAGATCTGGGCCTGTATATATAAAACTTCTCAGAAATGTTTAAAAAAAATAGTCTTAAGCTTTGATTTATAAGAGTCAAAAAATTCTTAGTAAAAAGTAGAACTTGTCTAAAAGTAGGAGACTTTTATAAAGAAGCAAAAAGCAACTTTCAGCAAAGTCTAAGACTGATTCTTAAGTGCTGACTGAAATGGTCCTTAAGTATTGTGAACTAAGGACTACAATGATGAGGACCCTCAACCTTTGAATCAGCCAATAGTGAGCCTTACAATTACAATTACTTTATAATTATTTTAATATTTAAATTTATTTAAAAAAATAATTTTGCATTATGTGCAAAAATATTACAAATAAGTGCATGCATTTATTTTACAAAATGTTGCATAGTCTTAATTATGAGTTTCAACACAATTAAATGGACAAATGTGATGTTATGTAATTAATTAAGCTGAATCACAACATTCTAAATTGCACTCACAAGTTGTATATAAAAGGAAAGAGAAGAAAGTTGCAAACCATTAAAAATGGATTCAAAAAGAAAACCAAACTGGTCCAAAGAAGAAAATCTACTTCTGGTACAGTCAGTCCTTAAATGGAAGGAGGCGATAAGAGGAAAATTCAGTCCAACTTTAACAAGGACAAAATCCTTCCAAAAATGTATCGGACAAGACGTTCAGCAGAGGATTGTGAGAAAAGGTGGTACAATGTTTTGGCAACAGCACGCAAGGAAATTGCAGCATACAAAGAAAGCATGTGAGCCACTGGTACATTTTATTTTAGGCTTACTAAACCCTTTTTTATATTAAATGACTGTTTCCATGTGGTCAGCAGCTGAGTTCTTGTCAAATAGGTAGAGGCCCTCCAAGTAATCCTCTGTCTAAGATCGCTGAGATAATAGAGGAGATAGTGGGAAAGGCCAGTCCTTCCATTTGTGGTTTTGCAGATGCCCCAGACCCTGCACTGCTCAAATTGAAGGAGTTAAAGAGATGGTAAGAAGAAAATGATACGTGTAATAATGTGTTAGCCTTTTCTATAACTTGACTTAAATTACTTTAATTTATGGACATGGGAAAAAAAATACACATCGGATTCAATAAACATGTTTGCACTCTTTAATATTTTCTGCATGTTAATATAGTGTGGATGATGCTGGAGCCGGTCCATCTGACGCATCTTCTCCTGTATCATCTCAGGACATCTCCCCGTGTCCTCCAGATGAGACTTCTCCCTCACTAGACACAGGGTTTGCGCAGAGTGCAAGAGTCTCTTAAAAGAAGAAAGCTCAATTTACAAATAAAGGTGCTGGAAATGAAAACTGAATATTACGCACTAAAACTGAAAAGATTAAAGAATAGTCAATGATTTTTCACAGGCACGTGCACACATAGACATCAAAGGGGGCTTGAGCACCTGCCCTTTTTCTTCCTCGAGAGAAAGTGCCCTTTTTTCCTGCTGATTTAAAAAAATTAAAAAAAATGAATAGCCTATATGTATTACGTGTGCGTGTTTCTGTTTGTGTGTGTGTGTGTGCATGGTACAGTAAGTGTAATTATAACAGCATTGTGAACTGATTATTTTGTAGACATCTGTTGAAAAATGAAACAATTGGGTGAGTGTGAGGGAATTAAAATAAATTGGTAAGTCAGAGTGGTGTTTATATATTTAACCTTTTGTTTAGAAAAAATTACAATAAATGTGAAGTGCCCTTTTTTCCACTTGAGCACCTTCCCCCTTAAAATGTCTGTGCACGTTCCTGATTGTACATATTTTTGCAAATAAAATGGTGTGATGACAAATTTGTGTGTTGTTACTTATTGTCTACAAGTTTTGCTTACCCAAAATGTAAGTTAGCAAAGCAGTCCCTGCTGTAAGTGGTGAGAAGCCAGCGTTTTAAAGGGTATCCTGAGTCGCTCAGCAGGTGACTAAGAAAAAAAAAACAATGCTAAAAACAAAACAAGTGGGGAAGTCGTGGCCTAATGGTTAGAAAGTCGGACTCGTAACCCAAAGGTTGCGGGTTCGAGTCTCATACCGGCAGGGATTGTAGGTGGGGGGAGTGAATGTACAGCGCTCTCTCCCACCTTCAATACCACGACTGAGGTGCCCTTGAGCAAGGCACCGAACCCCCAACTGCTCCCCGGGCGCCACAGCATAAATGGCTGCCCACTGCTCCGGGTGCGTGTTCACGGTGTGTGTGTGTTCACTGCTGTATGTGTGCACTTTGGATGGGATAAATGCAGAGCACTATGGGTCACCATCACTTTAACTACTTTCATCCAGGGCGAACATAATTTTGTTCAAATAACCCTGTGAGGCCACTCTGGGAAACAACCTGAGCATCATGTGTTGACCCTATCCATTTTGGCACAAGATCCAGGATCTTGTAACTGGCATCAAACACAACTTGAACATTGATGCTGTGGAATCCTTTTCTATTTATGTATGTCTCCTCATTTACTGTTGGAGCAATAATGCGAACATGAGTGCTATCAATGGCTCCAACAACTCCAGGGAAGGCCGCAATCCACATAAAAGCCACTTGCTATTGCTGTATAGTTTCAAGGTCAGTTGGGAAGTCAATAAACTGCCTTACTATATTTGGTGTGGTTAGAGCTGCAATAGTACTATTTAAGGCCCTGTGGAGGCCCAGTCATCACTGGTGCATTGCTGCATTTTTCCAGTCGCCAAAAAATGCATTCAGTTATGACGAGTCATTATGACTTTCATTTCTGCTGTTAAAGCATTGTTTCTTAGTGTGGCAGAAGGTATTGAATTTCTGACTTGGTCAGTAACAAAAAGAATACCTTGACGATCAAGCCTGTATCGTTTTATCAAATCCCTGTCATCATATAATTCAAACACATTCTTTTGTTTTAGGAAAGGGCATGATCTCCTCCTCACTGTTGCCATCTTGTTACTCCTAACTAAGTCAAGAGACCTCTCCAGCACTCTAACAATTTAGGAGCTGAGACCTAGTCTTAGCATTTGGTAACCTTTATAAAGGGGACTCGGAGGACTCGGAGAATCATTGCTCATGGCCTTGTGGGCCTTCCCTTCCCTCACCTCCCTTTCCTACCCTCTGGGCTTTCCCCAGTCCTTTTTGCTGATGAGAGCCTTCGTCCCCGCCCCCACCGTCACAGATGTCATTTGGCCTTGAGGAATGCCATCTTGTTACTCCTAACTAAGTCAAGAGACCTCTCCAGCACTCTAACAATTTAGGAGCTGAGACCTAGTCTTAGCATTTGGTAACCTTTATAAAGGGGACTCGGAGGACTCGGAGAATCATTGCTCATGAGCAGGTGAAGTCGTGGTCTGCACCCCAGTCGGTGCGCATCCACTCTTCCACTCAGACCATATTTTACCACGTGGACGTTGCAGGGGCCCACAGTTATGTGCACATGCCCCCTGACGAGGAAACTGAGGCTGCACATCTGTGCCCTTCCTCTGCCATGTTTGGCACAGACCTTTGCCTGTCTTCTAAGACTTGAAGTCTGACTGCCTACCTCGCTGACAAGGCTTACACTTCCGCTGGTCGAGCAGCATCTGGGCTGCACATGATGGTGGTGCTGCAGTTTTTTCAAACCAAGCTCCTGCATTCTCTGGACAGCGGCGACATGGACGCGGACACTGTGAAAGATCTACGCACGGTGACAGACTTTGCCCCGGCAAGGCTTAACGTGCTAGTGGGGAAACGGCTCGTGGAGGATAACACTGCGAGGCCATAACAGGCACAGACAGTTGCTCTGTGCTGCTCTGAGGCAGGGCGAGTAATGCCATATCGATAGGATGAGGAAGGAACAGCTCTTTTTGTTCCGTCACCGACATTGCCTCAAAATGCCCCTGTTTTGAGACAAGAGGTTCACCGGGGACTGGTTTGCATCCGTAGATCTGAAATATGCATACTTCCATATTCAGATAGCACCGCACCACAGATGCTTTATGAGGTTTGCTTTCGAGGGCACAGCATACCATTACTCAGTTCTCGAAGGGCATGGATGCAGCGCTTTCCCCTCTCAGAGCAAGCACATTCTAAACTGTCAGGACAATTGGCCTATTCATGAGATGTGCTGATCAGTCATACAGACAAGCTGCTTCACCATCTGGAGTCCCTAGGGCTGCGTGTGAATATGCAGAAGGGCATGTTCACCCCAAGCCAGTCTATTACATATCTGGGTGTGTTTCGACTCGGTAGAGATGCGAGCACCGCTCTCTCAAGAGTGCATAGCAATCCATTTAATCAGCTCTGCGCCGCTTTCGACGTCTGTTCCCTTGAGGGATTTTCAGAGGCTTCTGGGATTTATGGCGTCAGCCTCATCAGTTTGCCACCTGGGTCTTCTGCACATGCGGGCACTGCAGTTGTGGCTGAAAACTTGAGTCCCGTGGAGAGCATGGACCTCGGGTTGTATGTGCATTGTGGTCACACACAGCTGCATCAGTTTCTATACCTAAGGGAGATGCTGGTGGCTCCCCTTTGGCGAATTCTCCTCAGGAGGGACCTGCTGTCTCCAGCGAACGGCATGATATGGCACCCCAGCCCAGAGCTGTGGAGCCTTCATGTGTGGTTGCTTCAGGGGTCTTATAGGGGCTAAGCGCCCTGCCTTCCCATGTGCTTGACACACTCACTGAGTCTCATGCACCTTCTACTAGGCATCTGTATGCTCTTAAATGGGGAGTGTTTGTGAAATGTTGTTGTGATAGAGATACCGACCCGACAAGCAGTCCCGTGTTGGACGTTTTACATTTCACGAGTTCACACTTACATATGATCAGACGGAGTAATGGTTATGCATATTTAACGTGCTGTCTGAGGGGACAGCAAAAATAGACTGCTGCAAACGCGCCACTCCTGGAACGTAATGACGGAGTGCAACCGCATGCAGTGTGAATGCTCTAATCGGTTAACATGGGTGCGTAAAAAAAAGCAACGCATACGCACTGCAGAAGGAGTATGTGTGAAACAGGCTTGAAACAGGCGTCAGTCTGCACAGCAAGTTTCAATGCTGTTGGAGTTACAGGAGTAACATATACTCGGGGATATTGGTTTATTTCGAGTCGTAGGGACTGTAAGGCATGTCTGAAAGTGAGAAACTTTAGAAAATTGTGGATCAGTGCTGACTTGAGATGCAAACGGTTTTGAACAATTCAGTCCGATTTGGTGAACCGGTTCGGTTCGTGTTTGGCCGTGTGCTTTCATGTTATGTTTTGTCTTGTGCTGTGTCGCATGCAGCTTGTTTTTTTCATGGGCTGTGTGCTTTCATGTTGTCATGTTTTGTGTGAACACACTTATGAGTGTTCGCTGCGTGTTCGTGTGTTGTTTTGAACAAGGACATGGCTTGTGATTGTTTTGCTGGCCATGTGCTTGTGTTTTTGTTTTGTGTGAGCACATGTTTTTTCTTGTTTGTTTCCCTGTGCCATGTGCTCTCATGTCTATTGTCTAACCCCGCCCACCTTGTTACTTGATTATTGGTTCATTTGCCCCACCTGTCCTCTCTTGTTACCTGCCTTGTTTGCTCCCTATTTATTCTCCTTGTGTTTGCAGTCCTGTGCCAGTTTGTTGTTGTATGTTCCCTGGTTGTGTCCTGGTCCTGTCTTGCCTTGTCCTGCCCAGCCTGTCAAGTTGCCAGTCTGTTTCCCCTACGGTGTAGTTTTTATTTGTTTTGTTTTATTATTAATAAAAAGCCCTATTCTTCCTGCAAATTGAGTCCTCGCCTCATCCCTACACCCCAAACCCTGACAGACTGTGCCTGCAACTAAGTTCTACACATGTATGAATATCTATATCTGCAATAGATTTTAGCAGATGAAAAACCTGTAAATACCTGTAATACCAATGCTCATTAAGAATGAGCAGGTCAGCGACATGATCTGAGTAGGTCTTGAGCAGTCACAGATGCTGCAATATTATTAAACCTGTTTGATATCATCACCATATGATCCTGTAGTGTGTGCAATGCACTGACAAGGTGAAAGTAATCCAGCCAATCACAGTGCAGCTGGTATAAACGGAAAAATCTCGTAATGAGTTGGGTGAATTTGTCATCTGAATTTATGTGGGAAATTTTTTTTTTTTTTCACTATTGGTAGGGACTGCATCTTGACCAAATGTATTGCAGTTCCTCCATCTTGGCTGAGCTTTCAGTGTTGTCAAAATAAGGGTGAAGCTGATTGGTTAGTTCTTGTCACATGACCTGCGGTGCACTTGCGGCATTCTGAAAAGTTTAAATGTTTTCATCTCGCTACGCCATAGACATGCCTGAAAAAAAAAAAACAAGCACGTTGCAGCGCGTGTCTACACTTGAAATAACATGCGTGCAAAAGACACGGCATGTGAACGGCCCCTTATTCTTCCATATTTGTCCTTTTGTTGACAGACTCAAGTGTGTGGAATACATCAGAAACTGAATGTGTATCTGTATACTGTATCAAGTGTAGGCAGCATCCGTGATTATAATGGGCTTTATTTGCTTTTGACATGACACTCGAATCTAGTGTAGGCAAGTGTCAGCAATTACGTTGCATTCACATGGGCCGTCAGCATCGACACGTGATGGAGGGCGTGTTTGAAGCTTGGAGCTGACCAAGCGGCAACCTTCCGGTCTCTCTCGTGAAACCAACACGGATGTAACTAAAACTGCAATTCATCAACTGGCCACTTGAGGCTGGCTCCAAAAAGGAGTCAGTTCCATAGACTCCCCATGTTAAAATGCCCAACTTTACAGCAGAAAATTTTTTTACAGCCTGGTACAAAAAGTGGTTTTGGTCTATATAGCTAATTTTGCCCTTCATGACAACTGTGAGGGGGGTGAATTTTTTTATAACTCATCCCTTTAAATTATATTAAGCCTTAAAGTTCTGTATACTTAAAGGGTTAGTTCACCCAAAAATGAAAATTAGCTTGTGTTTTACTCACCCTCGAAGCATCCTA